TATCTATTTATACATATGAGAACTGGGGTACAGGGGTGTGAGAGGTGAGACAGAGTAGGGAGCAGAACAGCCAGGCTTACTGCTACACACTGCTGAGGGGAGCAGCAGGTAAGAAAGGAGAGGTCTGCTGTACCTTGTGGGTTAGCTCCACGACTGGAGATTGAACTCATGCTTCAGTGGCTGGTGGTACATTTATAGTGCCGAGACTTTAATCCCTGTGCCACCAGGGAAACCTATTAGTTCACTTTGAAAGCTTGGTAGAACCCACAGTAAAACCAACTGGTCCCAGACTTTTGCTTTTTGGGGAACTTTTTATTACTGTTTCTATTAATGTGTGGTTCAGTTTCTACATATTAGAGGTTTCTTATTTAAAATTTCTCTTGAATTTCATTCTTTGACTTGTGTTATTTAGAAGTAGGTTATTAAAGCTCCATATAGTTCTTTAAAAAAGGTTTATTTATACATACAAAAACTGGGGTGTAGAACAGAGGTGCAGGGGTGTGAGAGGATTTACCAGAGATAGAATAGGGAGCAGAATAGGCACATGTACTGAAATACACTGCTGAGGGGAACAGCGGGCAAGAAAGAGAAGTCTGCTGTGCCATGTGGGCTAGCTCCGGCTAGGGATCAAACTCATGCCATTGTGGCTGGTGATAGCTTGATAAGCACTGTGTCTTTAACCCTATGCCACCAGGGATGCCCTGTTTTTACTTTTTTTTAGCAATCTCTCATTGGTTCATTTCATAATTTCATTATGACCTAAGAAAACATTGTGTAATTGTTATTTTTTAAATTAAAGATCTATTTATGTATACAGAGCTTGGGTTCAGGCCAGAGATGCAGGGGTGGTGAGATAAGAGTGGGGAGCAGAACAGGCAGACTGATGAAGTACACTATTGAGGGGAGCAGCGTGTGGTTCAGGAGAGGTCTGCTGCGTAATGTGGATCACCTCGGGGCAGGGATCCAACTTATGTTGAAGTGGCTTTAACTTCTTAGTGCTGTGCTTTAACCCACTGCGCCACCAAGGAGTGCCCGTGTAATTGTTATTTTTTTAAAATGTAAAAGAGGTGTTTTTTGATCACTGGTCTGTGATCGTGAGAAGAATGATGATGAATTCCTGTTGTTGAGATTAAGTATTTTGTACTTGTCAGTTTGGTCTAATTGATTTACAGTGCTGTTCTTTTCGGGTGTTGAATTATCCAACTACTTTAATAAAATTATCAATGTCTCTTTGCATTTTTATCAGTTTCTATAATTTTACACCAATTAAAAGACAGGACTGTTAGAGTACATCAAAATAATAAGACCACATAATGTGTTGTCCTCTAGAAGCTTGTTTGAAATCTACTGACACATGTTATTTAAAATTAACAAAATGAAAATTATCTTGTTAACGCTAGTGAAATGACGTAGCTTTATTAATTTCAGACAGAATTTAGATCAAAGAAAATAGGAGCAATACATAATGATAATCTCTCTGAGAAGATATAGCAATTCTTAACTTTTGTGCACCTCATGATGGAGTATCAAAATACCTGAGGCACAAACTAATAATATGCAAGTAATAGATATATTCACTATTATAGTTAGAGTTTTTAGCATCTTTTTATTAGTAATAGATTTGGAAGGCAAAAAAAGTCAATAATGACTCAGTTGAACTAAATAGGCCCATGAGCCAGTGTATATTACTGATATCTGTCCAGTTTTGCAGTGAAATTAGAACAACTCTAAAAATTAAGTCTATTAATTAAAGAATTTTAAAGTATCTGTATCTGGAACCCAGTTTTTTTTTTTTTTAAATAATATAATAGTTTATTTTTACATCATTTTATGCCTTTTTCCATCTCAGTTGTAATCCCCATGAGCCATCACCACATCACCTGTGTGCCATCACCATAGACCAGCGCACTTCCCCTTCCTGCCCCATTTTTGATCCCATTCTCCACACCGATCCCATTCTCCACACCACCCCATAAAACATCTCTGGCATATAGTTGTTCATTATGCTTCTGCTATAAGTGAAACCATTTGGTATTTTCCTTTTTCTTTCTGGCTTATATCACTAAGCATGATCCCTTCCAGCTCTACCCATGTTGCTGCAAAAGGCATGTTGTTTATTTTTTTTTTGATTGCTGAGAAATATTCCATTGTGTATATGTACAATATCTTTTTAATCCAGTCATCCACTTTTAGACATTTGGTTTTTAAAGGTATATTCTTAAATTTGTTTCTGGAAGTATTTCTATTTTTTTAAAAGATTTATTTATTTATGCATACAGAACTGGGGTACAGGCCAGAGGTGAAGGGGCAGTAAGATTCACTAAAGACAGAATGGGGAACAAAACAGGCAGATCAACGAAGTACACACAGCTTGAGGGGAGCATCTGGGGAGACCAGAGAGGTCTGCTGCGCCACCTCTGTGGATCACCTCTGGGGCAGGGGATAATACTTGCACTTATCTGGCTGTGGCGAGCTTGCAGTGCTGCATCCTAACAACCAGTATTTCTATTTATAAGTGGTAATTTTTATCTTTGAGGTTTATCTACTAGATATAACATGGAATCATTTTGCTCAGATATATAAAATTTATATCATATGAAAATGTTTCTTGTTACCTACCACTTGTTCGTGTTTGTTTTAGTCACTGAACTTTATTTTGAAATCCTATACTAATAAACTAGAATCTTAATGGAAAAGCTGTTTTTTCCTACTGAAGAATAATAGGAAGTAATAGGAACTGACTTCTTGTGGTTTATTTTTAGTGTCAACATTAGATACTTTTCCTTTTAAGCTTCAAGAAGAAATTAATGATCATATATAAATATTGAATTATAAGGAACTGAATTAGGACTAAAGTGCTTTGGGATTGATTAATACAAAATTTTAATTTTTTTCAAATATCAGCTTTTCCATTTCAGTATACTTGATGCTTAATGAACACTTCACTGAAAAAGGCATCATTGGGCCCTCCCTGGTGGTACAAAGGGTTAAAGTGCAGCACTATGAAGCTATTCAAAACCACTGCAGCAGGAGTTTGATCCCCAGCCAGGAAGGAGACCCACATGGTGCAACAGAACTCTCCTGTCTTGCCCCGCCTGCTATTCCCCTTTGCCTCCCACTCTCCCCACAGCTCTGGCCTGTACCTGGGTTCTTGTATGCATACATAAACCTTTATTTATTTATTAAAGATCATTTTATGTATGTATACAGGTCTGGGGCCAGAGTACAGTGTGGTGAGAGGATTTGCCAGAGACAGAGTGGGGAGCAGAACAGGCAGATTGACACAATACACTGTTCAGGGTAACAGCGGAGAGCATAATACACACACACAGACACACACACACAGATGGTAACATCTTTACAGAAAGTTTGCTAAATGCTATTTTCTTGAGTATTGCAAAATGCTTAGCATGGTCAGCTGCTACATATTAGATGCCAATAGCACTTCAATCACTATGAAACCAAGCAAAACGTAACATTTCTCAAGTGCTTACAGGGGACAATTCTACTTCATTGAGAATTATTACCTTATCAGTTTTCAATTTTTATTCCTCTGGTACTCTTAACAGACAGTAATACATGCATGATATATTTCCACCAGAGTTCCTATGTTTGTAATTTTATTTCTCTTCCATTTAAGGAAACAGTTAAAATCCAGAAGGAAATTGTTGATGTAGTGGAGGAAAAATCAAGAATTAGTAGGGCTGGCAACTTAGACTTCTGATAGATGGAAGTGACATACTTGAGCAGTGTCTATTCCATACCAACTATTCAGATACTCCTCAAACTAAATGAAAATCGACTATTGTGAACTCAAACCAGAATCAATTCCTCATTAAATTTCCAGTTATTTAAATTGGATTAATTGGCCCATGTTAATATTGACTAGAACCCAACCAAAATAGCTGTGTCCCAAGTGAATTTATATCAGAATGATCTGATTTGAGGTAAGAGTTGATACAAATCACCTGGGTTGTGACATGTTATTGTGAAGCAAATTGCCAATGGAAATAGTTTTACTTAGTTATAATTTTTCATACAAATTAATGTTTCTATTGCATGTATAGCCAGAGGCCCAGAGATTTGGAATTCTCCAGTTTGGTAAATAGGCACGTATTCAATACACATTTATTGAATTGTAATGTCAAATATATTTAACCTACCAAAAATGTATAATATTTATTTATCAATTCTTTCTATATTAAAGGAAGAATGAAAGCATCATGTTGGTCTTTCCACTGCAGCCCTACTTTCTCTGTCTACTCTACCTTTACATTATTATCAGTACTACTGTCCAAGTTTAATCAAGTTCCAAATGATGGGAATATAGTTTAAACTATCTTGAATAGTAGATGGAGTTATTTTTGTGATATGTGTGTGGAAAGGAGGCTGATATACCATACGGAATTAAAGGAAGGTCTGCAGGAACTAGGCCTTGGGTGTTAGAGTGCTAGCTCTCTATGAGATCCCCTCTCCTCTCTGTGTGGCTTCTTTCTTTTTTTTTTTTTTTTTTGTTAAATTCAGATCTTTTCTAAAAGATCAGAGATGATGGCTGCTGCAACCCCAGCCTCATAGCCTTCTGGTACCATGGCCCCAAGATGGAAGACTGTTTTTCTTTCTGCTTTAAATTAAGAGACTCATTTGGACTAGAAAAAAGAGGGTGCTATGATTTGTCTGGTTTGGAATGTTTGCAATCCCTGATGGCTAGGATTCTTTAAGAATATACCAAAGAAGAGGCAGAAGAAAGCTTGTCCTGAGGCCCAATCATTAACTGTCACTGTCCTCTCCAAGGCTTTGTTGCCTCAGCCCTTCGATGATTTCCCATTGCAATTAAATTGCTTATTGTTTCAGAACAATAACAATTAAATTTTGAAGATTATAGAAAAGCATAACGTAGAGTACAATTTTAGAGTAGTGTCTTTTCAGTAATTAAACATCATTCAAAATATCTAAAGTTATTTACTGAACTCAAATTAATTACTTTTTTTTGGTCATTATAGTCTATTGCATCTGCAGACATGGATTTCAACCAGCTGGAGGCATTCTTGACTGCTCAAACCAAAAAGCAAGGTGGAATCACGTCTGACCAAGCTGCTGTCATTTCCAAATTTTGGAAGAACCATAAGGCCAAAATCCGAGAGAGCCTCATGAACCAGAGCCGCTGGGACAATGGACTTCGAAGCCTGAGTTGGAGAGTTGATGGCAAATCACAGTCAAGGCATTCACCTCAAATACACACGCCCGTTGCCATAATGGAGCTGGAATTGGGGAAAAGCGGACAGGTATGTTCAACTTCACTTTTCCTTTGTGAACTACTTTTTCCATTACTAACCATTGATTTTATATAATAGTCTTCTTTGCAGAGAGATAATACAAATAATAGGAAGGACTCTGTTTCCTACATCATTTTTTCAGAGAGAAAATCATTTGAAAATTTGGATATTTCTAATTGTGGATAGATTCTGGAATCAGCCTTACAGTCCTGGCAACTAGCTCAGAAAAACAAAGCGGGTCATTAAGGTGATTGCAATGAAATTGGCTACAGTTCCATTTTGGTTAGATCTCAGAATTCTTGGCATTGGTCAGAATCTCTAAGACAGTGACAAATACTAAATAAAGACTGGCAGTTGAGATTAAACACTGAATAAGATGTTTCATCTAATCATCTGTATAGGCAGTCTTGTATAGCATTTGTAGTAAGTTGTCTTAATGATAGTAATGTATTGTTCCTAAAGACCATAAGTGCTACTTCAGCATGGAGTACACAAATAATTGTCAATTTAATCTTTATTATTTACAAAGCAGTGTTGCTTTTCTTTTCAGATTCCATAATCATCATAACAGATAGTTTTAGCACCTACATGTTTTTTCTTGAATTCATTCATTTTGTGCTCCAGATTATTGCCAGGTCAAACTTTTAATGAACTGTTACATATCTTTTGAGAGAAAATGCAGCAACTTGTAATTTAGGAAGATTGCTCAGTTAGACTTATTTTCAGATAAATAAGTTCTTCTGTTACATCCTGTGATAGAAATGTATTTTTTTTTAATGATGAGAGTATTTCTTAACTGGCAGATTACCTCACATATTCTCAGCTTGAATTTCTTAGTATTTTTCAGTATTTGTAGTTTCAGACTGACTTTTTTTTTTTTTTTTAAAGATTTATTTGTTCCTTCATACAGAGCTGGGGTACAGGCCAGAGATGCGGAGGGTGCAAGGATTCACCAGGGACAGAGTGGGGAGCAGAACAGGCAGATTGACGAAGTACACTGCTGAGGGGAACAGCAGGAAGGTAAAGAGAGGGCTGCCACACCATGTGGCAAGCAGGGATCGAACTCATGCTGAAGTGGCTTTAGCTTCTTAGTGCTGTGCTTTAACCCACTGCGCTACCAGGGAGGGCCCAGACTGACTTTAATTTTGTTTAAAAATTAATTCTTTAAAAAAAACTTTCTCAAAATATATTTGAAAGATATTTTATTCAGTTTTATAAAATAGTTCCATTTGCCTTTATTGATTTTGATTTATCTGATTCTTAAGTTCATTCTTCTGTTTGCTTTTTTTTTTTTTTAAGATTTATTTATTTGTTCATACAGAACCGGGGTACAGGCCAGAGGCTCAGGAGCGGCGAGAGGCTTCACCAGAGACAGAGTGGGAAGCAGAACAGGCAGATCAATGAAGTACATTGCTGAGGGGAGCAGCGGGCGGGCCAGGAGAGGTCTGCCACGCCATGTGGTCACCTCCAGGGCAGGCGGGAATCGAACTCATGCGGAAGTGGCTTTAGCTTCTCAGTGCTGTGCTTTAACCCACTGCACCACCAGGGAGGGCCTCTGTTTGCTTTTTTTAAAAAAGATTTATTTATTTATTCATACAGAACTGGGGTGCAGGCCAGAGGTGCAGGGACAGTGAGAGGATTCACCAGAGACAGAGTGGGGAGTAGAACAGGCCAATGATGAAGTACACTGCTTGAGGGGAGCAGTGGGCAGGTCAGTAGAAATCTGCCACACCATGTGGCAAGCAGGGATCGAACTCATGCTGAAGTGGCTTTAGCTTCTTAGTGCTGTGCTTTAACCTGCTGCGCCACCAGGGAGGCCCAGTTTCTTTTTTTTTTTAAGATTTATTTTATTTATTTATGCATACTAGAACTGGGATGTAGGCCAGAGGTGTAGGGGGTGAGAGGATTCACCAGAGACAGCTTGGGGATCAGATGGAAATACACTGCTGAGAGGAGCAGCAGGTGAGACAGGAAAGGTCTGCCTTGCCATGTGGGTTAGCTGTTAACTTTCTGTCTGGGTACTGAACTTCATGCTCATGGCTGGCAATCAGTCGCTTGGTAGTGCTGAGACTTTTAACTCCTGTGCTACCAGAGAGACCCTGTGTTTATTTTTAGAAACTTTACCTATCTCAATAAAACCAAAGATCTTAGAAGTGAGAGAGTCCTTAATCACTCACCTAAAGTGAATTAAATAGGCCAGTGGCATAACTCCATTTTCTGGAGAAGGCATTTTGAGATAGTTAAGTGCCTTGCTTCAGATTGCTTTAGTTTAGACTTGCTTTAGTTCAGACTTGTTTAAGTTCAGTAAGAACTAAAATGGGAATCACCACACTGATGTTTTCCAGAAACCATTGCCGTCAACAATTAGCAGCTTTTGTTAGCTTCTCATAAAATTGTGTGCCAAGAAAAGATGTTGGTTTGTACAATATGGAAACGAAGATCATTGATAGGATTATTTATCACTCAGAAAAATAAATAAATAAAAAGGTCAACTTTTGATACACACAATGAAGTGATTGAATTTAAAAATCATTTGCTAAATGAAATGAGCCATATGAAAGCTTTTTTTTTTTAAAGATTTATTTTATTTGTACATACAGAACTGGGGTACAGGCCAGAGGCTCAGGGGTGGCGAGAGGCTTCACCAGAGACAGAGTGGGGAGCAGAACAGGAAGATCTACGAAGTACACTGCTGAGGGGAGAAGCGTGCTGGTCAGGATAGGTCTGCCATGCCATGTGGTCACCTCCAGGGCAGGCGGGAATCGAACTCATGCTCATGCGGAAGTGGCTTTAGCTTCTCAGTGCACTGCTTTAACCCCTGCGCCACCAGGGAGGGCCATATGAAAACTTTTTTAAGATCATGTTTCCACTCATAAAATTCTAGAAATGCTAAGTTATTTATAGTGATAGAACCCAGATAACTTGGGGATAAGAGTAGGGAAAGGTAGATTAAATTTCAAAAGGGTGCATGGAAATTTTTAAGAGTGATAAAAATGTATCCTATGTCAACTATAACAACAGCTTTATGGGCATGTAGATATGTCAAAACATATGAAGTTGCATACTTTATATTTGCTGCTTATAGTACTTTACTTATACCTCAGATCTGTAAGAAAAGCGGTCACCTTGAAATAGTACTTTAACCCTTTGCTTGCAAGTATATTTTCAGTTAAGAAAAGTTGTGAAGAAAGAAGTAAATAAAAATAGGATTCAGGTTGATGTAAAATAAACCGCCCACGTCCTATAGGAAATGTTACTTTGTTTAACCTGGGTTCTTGGTTAGTACCTCTTTCAGCCTTGTAGTACAGTCTTTAGGTGAGAGACTATTCGCAAAATAGTTCACTGAATCAAGTTTCCAGTTTTTAGAATACATAAAAGCAACAGAATCAGTTAATTTCACACTGCTAACATTAGATAACTTGTAAGACAATGACACTGCAGTATCAAGAGGTTGCATCTAAGAAGTATGACCAAGTTAAAAAAAAAACTTCTGCGCGTTTGTCCTTCAGTTCATATGCTACACCCAAATCAATTAATACTGTCTTCAATTTATGTCATCTTAAATCAGTGAGCTTCAACGATGGAAGCTCACTCATGGAACTATCAGTGGTGGCCTTAGGGGTAGAGAAAAGGATGAACTGTAAAGGGGCACAGGAACACTTTAGGGGTTAACAGTCAAGCCTGAATCTTGACTGTAGAGGGTGCAGTGGATAATTTCACAAATATACACACCACTCAAATCTACCAACTTGGGCTTCCCTGGTGGCACAAAGGATTAAGTCTCGGCACTCTAAAGCTCTCCACAGCCACTGTAGCGTGAGTTCCATGCCCAGTCAGGAAGGTGACCCACAGCAGCAGACCTCTACTTTCCTGCCTGCTGCTCCCCACAGCAGTGTGTTTTAGTCAGTCTACCTGTTCTACTCCCTAGTCTGTCTCTGGTGAATCTTCTCACCCATCTACACCTCTGGCCTGTACCTCAGCTCTTATATACATAAAAAAAAAGTTGATGTGTCTTAAATTAAGTTCTTCACATTGCCTCCAAATCCTGCCCCTCCTACATTTTTAAACATTTTTTATAACAGTTTATTTTTACATCATTTTGTACATTTTTTTTTTCTCTATCTCAATTGTAATCCCCGTGGGTTTCCCATCACCAAGTCACCCGTGTGCCATCACCATAATCCTGTGCACTTCCTACCCCGCCCCCCATTTTTGGTCCCATTCCCCACTCCACCCCCACGAAATGTCTCTGGTATATGGCTGTTCATTATTCTTGGTATTTTCTCTCCCGGTCCATTATACTCCTGCTATGAATGAAACCATCCGGTGTTTTTCTTTGTCTTTCTGGCTTATCTCATTAAGCATGATCTTTTCCAGCTCCAAGTTGCTGCAAAAGACATGTGTTTCTCTTTTTTGGTTGCTGAGTAATATCCCATTGTGTATATGTTCCACATCTTTTTAATCCAGTCATCTACTCTACATTTGTTCTTAACTCAGTTATTGGTACCCTCATTCCTCAGATACATGTCCTCTTTTTCTTATACACCCATATTTATCATCAAATCTTGCTAGATTTAAATTTAAAATCTGAATAAAATTTGACTGTTATTCACCACTCCACTCCACTTCTCTGTTCATATCACCAGTGCTTTTCTCCTAGGTTATGATATCATCTTCATTGCTGTTCTCTCTGTATCTGTTTATTAGTCTATTTGCAGCATGCATTAATGTGTCAGTAGTAACTATGTTAAAGCATATGTCAGTATATTCCTGGCTTTCATCTCTCACTCTAGTGGCTTCCTTTCTGTATCAGGTTAGTAGCTGAATCCTCCTTTAATCTGCTCTAGATCCAGTGGATCTTGACGATTCTTGGAACATGCCAAGCATGTGCTTTTAGGGTCTGCATTTGTTGTTTTCTTCTCTGGTGATTAGTCTTCCCTGGGATATTTTTAGTTACCTTTTCTATTATTATTATTATTATTATTTTTGAGTTCAGTAGGCTTCCGTTG